GCGATCTCATCTGCCATCGCGGCCTCTCTCCCGTGCGGCCAGCCCCGAGGAGAAGCTCGGCAGGAGGGAGGAGCCGGGGGAGCGGGCAGAGGGCGGGAGCGCGCGGCCAAGCCTGCGCGGGGACCGCCGCTCGCGCGCCCCAGCTGCCCTTGCGCGTGCGCACTAGCGACGTGCGCTGATGTGCGGCAGTGGTGCGGCTGGGCGCTGGACCTCTGCGGGAACCACCCGGCGTGACCCAGCTGAATGGAGGCTCTAGATCCGAGGCCCTTGGGAGCCGCACCGAGGTCGTTTTTCGTTCTTCCGTTCTTGTCTCTCGTGGCGTGGAGTTACTGCCATACGCTTTTCTCTTACCTTATGCACGCTTGTAGGAAACGTGGAACTGTAACTGAAAAGATTTGATAATCCAGGCAGTGCTGGCCATTTTTGCTGCCAGAGACACCATGATAACTTCATTTCTCGGCTACTTAGGTCTTGGTTGCAACAACTAAGCCCTCCCCCATCAACCTTTCTTCTCCCTCTAGCAGTGGTTCTCAATCTTGACAGCACGTTAAAATCACTTGGGGAGCATGTAAAAACTCCCCATGAACTTGGCCACCCCCAAATCAGTTAGACTTTCTGGGGGTGGAACCCACATATCAGTAGTTTGTAAACCTCCCTTGACTACTCTGCAAATAATTTTTTTATAGCAGTGATCAACATAATGTAAGATGCCCCACCCTAAAGGAACAAAACCTTTCTTAACTCCAGGTCCCCCTCCATGTCCTTGTTTCATCTTAAGAGTTTTCTGTATATTGTGCCCACTTTATCTGTCTTTTTTGAAACCATTTACCTCTTGTCATAGTCACTAAGGACCTCCACTTACAAAATCCTGTAAGTAACTCCAGTTCTCATCATACTTGACCTCTTGGCATCGTTTGCCATCGTCGACCATTCCCTCTTCAGAAATAGTCTTCACTCTTACCTCTATGGGTGCTATTTCTCCTTCACAATGAGCCTTCTGTTCAATACCTTTTAATGGATTCCATTCTTGGCTCTCTTCTCTAGCTAACACGTAATCTCCAGGTGTACTTATTGTGAAAAATTATATCTTTACCACTTTATTTTGGCGAAATTATTAATAGTGGCCCCCTTTAATCGTAAAAGTGGCCCATTTGGTACTTTTGGTATCAAAAGCATTGCTGGGACAACTGGTGAAATCTAAATAATGCCTACAAATTAGAAGATAGTTTTGAAAGTCATGTTAATTTCCCCACCTAACCACAGGAAAATTATCAAAATCAGTTGATCTTGGTTGGAGCCCTATAATTTACATTTCTAGCAGTTTCCAGGGATGCAGTTGCTGCTACACAAGAACTATACTTTGAGAACCACTGATGTAAGAGAATGTCTTCTTTGTAGGGGGAAAAACCCACTGATGTATTTAGGAGTGTAAGGGTGTCATGTCTGCACCTCACTTTCAAACAGTAAAGAGATGCTTAAATATTAACATACAGATAAGTAGAGAAAAGGATAAAACAATTGTTGTAAAATGTTAACATTAGGGGAAAATGAGTGAAAGCCATATACAAATTCTACTATTCTTGCAACTTTTCTGTAAGACTGAAATTGTCAAAATTAAAAATTGGATCTGTACTGGTTTGGGCAATAAATAATATAGTCATCTTTATATATACTCAGTCAGAGGCTTTATCATCTACAGAGCAGTAACTCTCTAGTGTTTATCTCCTGAACTACCTCTCCCCTTAATTCCAGATTGGCGTATGGCATATATTTCTGCCTATTCACCACCTCCAGTAGGCACTTCAAATTTATTTTTACTCCCTCCACAACAATCAAAAAGCCTCTTCTTTCTGCAGTCTAGATCTACTATAATACCATCCATCAAATTGCTCAAGTCAAAAGCCTTGAAATTATCCTAAACTCTTCTCTGTGGATTTTCAGCTCATATGAATCAAATCATTTCTCAACTTCTCTACTCTACCATCCGAATCCAAGTCACTATCTTATCTCACTTGGAGTACTTCAAGAACCTCCTAGTTTGCATATCTGCTGCCACTATAATCAACTTACCATATAGCACCCAAAATGATTTTTATAAAATATAAG